CCCTGCTGCACCACGAGACCCTTCTCCCTGGGCCCTGCGTGGTGTCTGCTTTGGGGGTGCCAGGGTCCCGTGGTGGCCGCCGTGTCGAGCTTGTGCCCAGGGCTCGTCCTGCACAAGCTGCTGGCGTGAGGCCCCCTCTCCACCCCGTGGGAGGGCTGGGGTCCTGGGCCGAGCAGGCTGGCAGGGCTGTGCCGGCGCAGCCCCGCCCTGCTGACGGAGCCGGCTCCCTCCCCGGGGAGCGCCGGGACCCTGACCCGCACTGCACTGCGGCTCCAGCTGCTTCCCCAGCCTCCCGCGGCCGAGGGAGGGACGTGGGGCCAGGCCCACCCGCACGCCTGGCTGCCGCGCACTGCTGGGAGCTGGCTCTGGCCCTTCCTCCCCGGTACCCGCCGGCGGGTCAATGGCGGGAGGGCTTCCTGGGGCCAAAGGGGTGGTGGCTTGGTGGCAACGATGGTGCCAACAGGCATGATGGAAAGGCCCCTGGCTCGCCGGGCCCTGCTGTCCTGGGCATTGGCTGCACAAGCAAAACCCGCTGGGTTCCCACTCCTGGTTCTCGGTCCTTGTTGGGCTCTTCCCCCGTCTGGCCCTAGCGGCCGGCCGGCCCCTCATCTAGTGTTTCAGCCCTTCCCCAGGCCCTGGGCCGGACGTCATGGCCCACCGCGAAGCGGCTGCGCGGCAAAGGGGAGTTTTCCTTCCTCCAGCAAAAGCCGACGGCTGCTGCCCGCGCCCGGCTATAATTAGTGCCCCGGCTGCGGTGGCGGCGGTGGAGCTGTCCCCCGCACCGGGCTCCACTTCCTGTTTGCTGCACGTCCCCCGAGCCTGCAGCCTCCACAGTGATGGCGGCCGCGCCGCCCCTTTCTAGTGCTGCCCACGTGCCAGGGCAAGAGGACTGGGCCCCAGGGCTGCACTGGGCCACCGAGGCTTTGGGAGGAGCCGCGGGACGTGGCTGGCACAGGGGACGGTTTCACTTGAGGCTGAGGATGGGCAGAAGCGCAAGCCCCAGCCCCAGCTTGCTCAGCACCAGGCTGATGTCAGCCCCTTAGCTGCCCGGGGCACCCAAGAGCAGGGTGCTGCCATCTCCCTGGGGTGCTGCGTTGGAGAACCTGGCGTGGTGCTGTCACTTCTGCAGCGGGCTGGGGTCTCTCCTGGGCAAACTCTTTTGTGGGTCCAGGCTGGGTGCTTGGCCCGGTGGCACCAGCTGTTCCATTGATGGCCATGTTGCAGCATGGCAGGCGCTTGCTCAGGGCGAGGGAAGTGCTGAGCTGCAGATGGAGGTGCGCGACGACACACCGGGCATGCACCGGGGCAGGGTCCCGGCGTTTGCTCCGGGCCCATCGGATGAGCTGGTCTCTGCAGCCACCAGAGACAGTGCCCCCATCACGGCTTGTTCAGCACTAAGGTTACGGTGCTGCCTCTTTTGTGTGCAGGGAGAAGGGACCTTCGGGGACGGCACGCAGAGCCTCGTCTCCCATCTTGGCTCCAATAGAACTGGCCGAGGTAATTGCGGAGCCAGCTTCCTATTTGCTTTTGCAAGCAGCAAACTCCCATTAACGGAACAAAACCCACTTGATCAGTAAAAAATGTACAGTGCCCATTAGCGTTTCGGTAGCAAACTGTTGCGATCACAAAAGGTTTCATGAAGTGTCTCTAAAAGTGAAGCAATGAATTAAATACCGGCATTGAATAACAGCCACTAATCTGGGGGTCGAGACTTGATTTGCATTAGTTATGGCACGCGGCACAAGGTGCCGCAGGTAAGTGCCTGTCATTACTCCTGTTGTTAATTGTCCCTGGCTGGAGGTTTCACACGTTACAATGCACTTAGCACTTCCCTGGCCACTGTCACGGGAGGATCCCAAAGCACGGTGCTGCCAGCCCTTGGTTGCGGGGGGCAGGAGCTCAACACCATTCTCTGCCCCCTGGTACTGATGGGCTAACGGGCCTGCGCTGGGCAGCAGCAGAGCCAGCGGGTGACCCCGGGGTCCTGGCTGCTCGGCCCCATCCCCAGCTGCAATCCTACCCCGGGTGCAGGGGCTCTGCACCTGGACACTGAGTTACTCCTCGTGTTTCCAGTTCCTGGGCTCGGAGCGGGCACAGAAGCGGCAGGGCGAGTGCGAGGCAGGGGCCCGGGGTGGGAAGTCAGGGGAGCTGGGCAGGGGCAGCCGCAGGGCAGTGCCAGGGCCTGGGGGCCGTGCGGAGCTGGCTGCGGCAGCCGAGCTGGGCAGTGGCGCCGACGGGTTCCCTCTAGGGCCGACGGGCTGCACTGCAGCTCCCCGGCTCTGCTGCTCCGGCGCTGGGGGAGCAGGGTCTTGCTCTTTTCCATCCCGTGCAGCCCCCGAAGCGGTGTAGAAACACAGTCCGCATGTGACGGCACGTGTGACCCCGTTCTGCGGGTGCCTGGAGGGCCACCGTGCAAGAGAGAGCGGCACCGTCCAGGTACGTCTCCACGTCTCTGGGCTCGGGCCCTACCCCGGTCCGGTCCGGCCCTGGCCCCGGGGGGACTCCCAGGGCTCGGCCTGGGGCGGAGGGAGGCCACGTCTGGGGCTGGGGCTGCTGAGCGTGACCCGCAGGCGAGCCCTGGCCTGCTCCGGGGAGGCCGGACCTTGGCATCTGCTCCCCCGCGCCCGAAGGGCCCGTCTGGGTACGCCGGGCTTGCCTGCCGGGGCCTGCGGCAGGGCTGAGGGCAGGGAGGCCTGCTCTTCGGGGGGCTCGGTGCGCGCAGCTTGACGCGGCCCTTTGCCCGAGGGCAGTCGTGGCGTCGGGGCTGGGGGGAAGAGGCGGTCGGCTGAGGAGCAGCCCGAGCTCGGGCCCCGGTGGCGGCAGGTGGGAGGTTGTGGCTCCCGGGGAAGGCTCCGCTGCCCCGGAGCACGAGCAAGACGGAGGCGGCCGGGGGTGCGGCGGCCGGGGCGCGGAGGCACCTGCCGGGGGGAGGGCGCGCGGCAGGCCGCACCCGGGC